TATCATAGATGGCCACATGGAGCTTACCATGCTACATGTGAAAGTAAGGGATCAAAGATAAAACGAATTAGGATAGCGTTATCCTACTTGCTTGTGATAAAATCTGTTGCTGCCAACCCCCAAGATTGGATTTAACTTTATCAATAATATGCTTATAGTGTTGTTTGGTTGCACGCCTGTGTATCATCCAATCACCTAAATATCTCCCAACATTGCGCACTTATTTGAAGTCACATCTCTTATAATGTCCTTAACAAGCTGCTTTACGTGTTCTTGGAGAAGAAGACACTAGTATTAGGTACACTCAAATTTGATCCTGATATCTCCTCAAACAAATTGATACATTTCAGCATTATTTCCATCTGAGGAAGCGATGCCTCCGCAAACAGCATTAGATCGTCAGCAAACATTAGATAGAAGAATAGGGGCCTAACTTAATGGGATGCTAAAGTTTCCCTGCCACTTGTATGTTAATGATATGACTCAACTTCTCCATTGCCAGCACAAAAAAATAAGTAGCAAATGGGTACCATTGACAAACACCCCTAGAAGGATTAAAGTCAGACATCTGGCAACCATTGCATAATACGTTAATAGATGAAGAGGTAACAAAATTCATAATAAGCTCACCAAAGTGACCGAGTAACCAGATCTCTTGGACGATATTCTTTAAGAAATTCCAATTCAATCGGTTATAGGTTTTCTTCAAATCCACTTTAATTTCCATAAAAAGGCGCTTGAGACGCATATTGTTTATACTGTGAATTATTTCCTTCACAATGATAATATTATCATGAATTTGCCTTTTTGGGGCGGAGCTTGCTTGGAAGGTAGAAACGAGGTTCTTCATAATGGGTTTGAGCTTGTTGACAAGTAGCTTGCTCAGTAACTTGAACAGAATGGAGCAGAGAGATATTGAATGGAATTGACTAATGTGAGATGGTGATGTTTGCTTCAGTATTAACACCAGTAGAGTAGAGTTGACATACCAGATAGACTAAGGATGCTGCCATATTTCCCAAATACAAGCACATATCTGATCTTTTAATCTATCCCAGTTCCTTTGAAAAAATATAGTTGGGTAGCCATCTCGCCCTAGTGCCTTATATGCTCCCATATCAAATAAGCAATGCCTGATTTCCAATATTGAAGGCAGCCTAGACCAAAGATTAAGGTCGGTCTGGGCAAGCACAAGCCATATACTATCTAAGGAGACCCACCTTCTATATTCCACATCTTTAGAGATAGATTGTTGTAGAAGGAACATGCCAAATCATGAAGACATTGAGGGTTCATTACACAACTATTAGTGCCATTCTATAGTCTAATAATCTTGTTTACACTCCTCCTGGCTATAGTTTTCAGATGGTAGAACCTTGTGCTTCGGTCCCCATCAATGATCCACTTTTATTGAGATTTTTGAAACCATAGTCGTTTCTCCCTGTCAAGAACCATGTTCAACTCCTCCTAGCAAACATACTCTAATTGGAGAAGACTAGCATCTTCATGCTGGAGCACTTGAGCCTGCAGATCCTCTAGCCTCTCCCAACATGTGATTGATTTGACAATCGCATTTCCATTTTGTCTTCATAAGTTGTGGAAACTGAGGGTGGTTCGGTCAATCTGCTACAAATTGGAAGGGTCTAAGAACCTATGTATTTTGCTGACTTGAAATGAAAATAAGCATAGGATGATGATCTAAACAAGTACGTACCAGATTGCTAACATCAGCCAGATGATATTCTATTCGTGAGGATGCATTAGCACATACACAATCGAGCTTCTTATAAACACGAGGGAGGTGAGGTCACTTAGGTCCTTTCCAAGTGTAGAAAGCACCAGAGCTCGGCAAATCATCCAAATTCCAGTCCTCCAACCGAGCTTTGAATTTGTCACACTTAGAAAGGTCCGGTGGACTACCTCATTTTTGGTCTGTAACACTTGAAATCTCATTGAAGTCTCCCACCACCAACCAGGGCTTATCCATTTTCTATTGCTACAAATCTTCCCAAAAGGACTAAGAAGATGCTCATTTGGAATAGCATAAACTGAAGTAAAATCAAACTTTCGCATACCTCGGATACAAACGCGAGAATGTAGAAATTGGGTAGATTATCTTACCACATCGACAGACACATGTGAAGATGACCAAAGCCACCAAATACCACCCATAAATCCTTAAGCCTCTTCTAAGGTATATTTATCAAACCCAATTTTCTTCAATAACCACTTGCAATTTAACCCGGAGGTGTGAGTTCTCTAATAACGACTAGCTGAATCGAGTATTTGACTACTAAAAACTTCAGGTCCCTACCAAGCTCCTTCTTGCCAATCCCCCTTACGATCTATATAAGGAACAAGCACATCATTGAGATGAAGGAGTGGCAGGCTTGACATGTGCCTACAATTACTCAAATGGGAGACCGTTTATGTTTGTTTGCATCCAGATTGTTCTTCGGATTAATTTTTTCTATTTTACTCAGACGACCAACGGTTTTTGGGGTTATCCCCACCATTTGACTTCATTATTTGGTCATGATTCCACCAGGATCACCATCTTTTTGGTTTGCACTCTCATCCATTAATTTAGAGAGGATCAACATAGAGCCAACTAGAGCCCGGCAGGGAAGCATGGAGCAGCACCCCCAGAACCGTGGAGGTTTGGTACTATGTGACAGCTGCGTCCTTTAGTGTTTCTCTCACGGTTGCAGGGTTAGCTTCCTCAATTTGATGAATTTCAACCTACTGCTTATCCCCCAACGCTACTATCCCATCTACTTTTCTTGCACTGGTCCCAGAAGCTGAAGGACTGGTTTGCATGTTCTTCTCATGCCCCTGTGATTTTCCTTTACCTTTATTTTGACGTTGAACCTCCGTCAATTCACCATTGTCAGTCTCCTACTGCTCTTGAGGTGTTGTTGCCTAAGGTGATGACGTGCTCCCGTGGACACCACCTGAGCGCATAGATACGTCTTATGCCCATAGCATCTGCAAGAAAGATAGATAGACAGTAAACCTTTGTACTCATTCCTCATCCTTGTACACTCTATTTCATATTCCAATTGCAAAGCTCTGTTTGGTTTAACTGAACACAGAGTCTTGCAAATTTCCCTCGGGCTATATTCGTAGTAATAAGATTAACTCTTATAAATCCTCTAATGATGTTTCCTATATTCTCAAGCAATTGCGTCTTGACATATTCTGGGGGGAATTCCGACAACCTAATCCAAGCGACCACCTTATCCACCGTAGCTTTTGCAAGCTAGAAATTTGGGACCCAGTCTTGAATGCTTAAATAATGATCTAGGATGATTTGTGGTCCATCGTACCTACCTTTTACCATGTCCTTTTTTCTTTCAAATCATACAAGAAAGAAGTTATTCGCTACATCTGTTACCAGAATTCTTCCTTCCTTTGCCCATATGCGTTCCAGCCAGTGTTTCATAAAGCCGTAAGACGCCTTTTTCCCAGCAGCTTCACGATCAAAGTCTGTCGCCATTGTTGCCAAGCTTTTTGCGTAAACGGGTTTGACAGTTTGAAGTTGGCAACTCTGTTGCGTTTATGCAGATCTGGATGTTGGACTCAAACTCATGCCTTGCCACCAATGGTTCTCCAATAACAGAAATGTGATCCTCTTCATCAGGAATAATCTCATCCCATTGATTGTGTTGTACCACCTTCGCATATGGCCTCTTTTTCGCAACGACCAGATCCTTTCCAACCACGTTATGTTGATCACCATTTCTGTTTTTGTTAGTTTTCGCTCCTTCTCTGCCTTCCATGCTTCCCTGGTTTGCCTCCATGGACTCTACCGCCAAACCCTCCCAGGGTTTCCCATTTCATTTATATATACTAGGTCCAATTTCTTATTATCTTATCATATCCTGATTTAGTTATTAACAAAAATTTAGTGGTTTTGTTGTTCTTTGGGATTATTGTTTGTTTAGTACTTATACTATTTTAACAATCAAACAAAATACAATTTGTGTGTGGGTGTTATATTATCCCTTATTCTTAGAATATTAAATAATTTATTGGCAAAGATGTTTAAAGTCTTTTTAAGAACATCTGGGACGTTATATTTAGAATATTAAATAAATGGCAGAGATGTTATACTATCCCTTATATTTTTAGGTGGGACGTTATACTTATTGTATATTTTTATTTATAACATCTTATAACTATTTTTTATTCGCTAGATCAAAACGACATCAAACAAAAATCGTTGATTTAATTTTGATCCAATGGTTAAAAAGATGATTGTAAGAAGTTATAAACAAAAATAAGTTATAAACATAACCTCTCCCTATAGCTACTTAATATTTATTTCGATAGTGTTAAAACTTATATTTTTAAGCCATTTATATTCATAATTTTTTTTATTTCTACTACTGTGTACATTAATAATAAGCCTTATTTATTTAATTTTACTGATTTGGTTCAAAGTAAAACCTACATGAACGTTGTATTAATGGGAATTATCATAGTGCCTATGAGTATGGTAGTAAGATTAGTTTTCAAACTTTTATTAAATTCTAATTTAATAATAAATTTTTATACTAAAATTAAAGTAACTATTAGCTGACGAAATAGTTGATGGTATTCAGTTTAGGAGAGGGGAAAAGATAGAAAGCTTAATAGCCATATTTATCTGCATGTATCCCATGCACCCTTTGTCACTGATTCATATAATTAAGGATCAATTACTTTATAGTAAATTTTGATGCCTCGTTATATTGGCAGGAACAATATTGTCTAAAGGAAAGATAAGAGGATAACATAAAGGAAATAAAAATCTTATTTATAATGACAAATTAACATATGTTATTTCAGAGTACATCAACTACGTATTAAGTAACGTGGTTGAAAGAATATGGCAACCTTTTGCTTTTTATTACACATTATTTTTCTCAATCAAACAAATTATATATTAGAAATTCACACTACAAATCTTTATTTTTGTACTTCAAAATCTATAAGGTTTGAATGCAATGGTGCAGTTAGCACTTAGGAAGATCAGCCGGTGGTGGAGGCAGTGTGGATGAAGAAGTAGGCCCATTCTCCACCTCGAAAGCCATGGCTAACCCCCATGGCAAATGAGTTTCCAAATGACAATGCACAAGCCACACACCTATATGGAGAAATTAAATAATTAGCTTGCTTAAGATTCGAAATTGATAATTAAAACTTAGTAATAAGAGTTTTACTATCCACCTTGAATCAAATTAGTCAAATAATTGATGAAACAATGGATAATATAAAAAAAATTGAAAATTAGAAAAAACAACAACCTGGATTATTTGCTTGGAATCTGATAACGGACCATCCTGCCACTGGCACAGCAATTGTGTTACGTATTTGAGGGTTAACAAAATTGAACTTTGGTTCATCAATGGTGGAGTTGTAATTCCCAAACCCTTGAGCCAAAACATGGAAATTGAAGCCATGAATGTGAATTGGATGATTCTCCGCAGCAAGGATAGCATTATTCTGAAGCACAATCTGTATAGTTGAATTGAACTTCAATGTCTTCACCTTCGTTGATTTAGGTGCGAAAGCGATTAAATTATTGGTAGCCAAAGATGGGTCAGTATAGTTAAACACATATGGAGGCTGGTTTGGAAAGTCTTTGGTGTAAACCCCACTAACATTGTGGTAAAATGCTTCCAACATAGAAAACCCTCTTCCACTTGGTAACACAAAGGACTCATTGTTCATGTTGGCAGAAAGTCTCTTACCTTGTGGGCCAGCACATGTGTTGTTTGGGCCTGGAAGGTTACATTGGTCAAGGTTAATCCCAAAAGAGATGAACATGTTTTCATCCACGTCACGAGGAACAGGAACCCAGTGGGGTCCACCTGCCAACCCTGTTATATTAGTGTAGAACTTGTGTGCTGTTGGAGTGTCAGTTTGATCTGGTAGATCAGGCATTATGGGTGGTGATGATGAGGATGCACCGTCGTAAACCACCACTCCTCTGGTGGTTGAGTTATTGACTTGTACATTAATCGAGGAACGGTATGGGGTGAAGGCCATGTAATAAGAGTCACATTTCTGGTTAGTGTTGAAGAGGACATCGACGGTTTGGCCTGGGGCGAGAACGACAACGTCAGTGTCATAGTGTCGTGTATAGGCAGCATCTATGGCAACGACTGTGAATGTGTGGTTCGCTATCTTGAAGAAGTGTTGCTCATTGAGTGCAGCATTGATTATGCGTAGCAAGTAGGTTTTTCCTTGCTTCACTTTGAGCTGGTAAGTCTCTGAAAATATGTAAAAGTAAAGTCAAAAGTGGAACAAAGGTGTATGAGATATATAAAATTTTAGTAAACTATTACACTCACCTAAATTATAATATATGGACTTAAGTGACATTAAAAATAAAGAATTTGCCAATAAATTAGGTGTAAGATGAAGTAATGTGAATCCTTACATTGTAATTTATGAGTGTGTATAGAGACAATGAATGATCATTTTATATTAATGTAATTTTCACTTTTATTTAATTTTTTTTTTCTAGAATCTCAAAATGACTAAAAAATTAAAGTTGTTATATACAAGTAAATTATATGTTAGAATTATGTATAAAATTTTGTATACAAGTGTAAACTAATTATCCTGTTCCCCTTAAGAATTAATCCGTATTAGACAGGGTCAAAGTGAAAACTTCAGGATAAATTGAGGAAAATTTGAGGTTATAAGCATTTATTTGCATATATATGAAGAGAAAATAATATTGTTGAACATTTGGCTTACGATTTTGAGAGCAATTGTAGAGATCGCCAGGTAAGCCATTGATTGTGAAAGCAACTGAATCCATTGGCGCGCCTCCGGTTTCTGTTGCATTTCTCTCAACTTCTACAACACTAACATTCCACCACTCTCCTGCAATTAATTATGAAATGTTTTCAGAAACAATAGCTTATAGTAATTGCAACAAGTCACTATTATTAGGTATATGGTTGATCTATCAAAAGTGAAGGAAGCTTTCTAAAATATAGTTGCATTTTTTTTTTTGGAAACATAATATATATAGTTGCATTTTTAATATCACAAATACAATTTTATAAATAGTAAGTAATAATTTAAGGGTTCATGATAAATCGTACTTATTAAAGTATATTCTATAGATATGCATGCCTATGTTTCATTTAGATACAAATTTAACAGATATTCAAATAACAAAAAATAAGGAAAAAATTCACAAAATTCAAGATGGGGGGGGGGGGATAAATAATACCAAGCACTATGGGGACTTCTCCATAAACTTTAGGAAATGGGTATGAGTGTCCTAGTCGTGGCCGAATGATAAGGGCTCCATAGACAGTAGCACGTAGAAAAGATGAGTGTGCATGCCACCAAAGTGTTCCCTCTTGTCCAGTTATTTTAAATTTATAAGTATAACTGCTTCCAGAAGCTATTGGGCATTGAGTTACAGATTCAGGGCCATCTGACCATTGACTTAGAAACTGAAATATTCCATGCCTGCATAATATATTGTAAAATGTGCCCACATTTAGAATTACATGAAAAAGAATTTTGATTATAAAGAACAAATTAAACCCTAGAAAAATATCATTTGGATTATTTGATACAAGCTAAAGAAAAAAACTAAACGTGCAATAAACATCTCTCTTCAAATGACGTATACGGGTATGAGGAAAAAACTTATATATTTTTTTGTCAATTCTAGTATGATATAACAGTTTTTATTTCTTTTAAAAATTTCATGAAAAGAGAGTTCACTTAAAAATAATAATTTAAAAAAAATAAAATTGAGTATCTTATAATTAAAAAAATAAGTGTGAGACATTTAGAGTTAACTTAAAGTAATTACAATTATAACTTTTTATTTTTAAATTAATGCAAACGAGCCTCTGTTTTTTTTAAACTAAAAGAAAAGATAATATATATATATATATATAATATTTTATTAATCCAATTTTTTTATTAAATGGAAAGGCCAGGCTATGCCCAAAGGAATTAAACCAAAATTTTTTAATACTTCATTAATATGTATTGAGTTTAACGTAGTATATATTTTTGAAATTTATTAAAATAAGAATTATTTGATTATATTCTTCATGTTGTTTACTTTTTTTAAGATTAAACGTATGAAATTAAAATAATAAATAATCATAATTCAAATCAATAAAAATAACATTCATAATATACAGGTGTTAATTATTATGTCGGTGTAAACCTAACATATGAAAAAGATAACAAATATCAATATTATTTAATTCTTATGGTCAACCCGTGGTGTGGTTTCTTAATTTCTTTAATATATATTATCTTTACCATAGCACTACTTTCCATGAGACTAATTTTATTGAGAGAGAATAAAATTTTACCAATGAATAGTAAGATTGTAGGGTGACTTATTGAATACGTGAATGACAACAGTGTCACCCTCTCGAACGTCAATTGTTGGTCCTGGCAAGCCTCCATTCACCGCAGTGATCACTTGTTCACGACACAAGCGTTGCACAGGAATGTCCTTCACCTGCCACAATCAAAATAGAACTTTCTAGTTAATTTCATGCATCAAAGAATCTCTATCATCTAAATAAAGACAAGGGAGAAGAACGAACGAGCCAAGTGTGTTCCACAACACGAGCTGAAGCCAAAGAAGAAGCTAGTAGTACAAGAGCAAAAGCCCATGCTAGAGAAAACACAAAACGTTTCATGCTGTAAGGTCGTGATATATGATTGTAATTTCGTTTGATGAAATGAACGTTAACTTTGTCTATGTTGTCTCAAAGCACGATCATGATTGCTATTTATAGAGAACCCTTATGAGATTTGACGTTTCCACTATTGATAACGCGTTTTAGGTATCATTGGAATAATGCATGCAAAAGTTTTGACAAAAGCATTTGAATTTTCGCCGGATTAGGAGGATTATGCAAATTTGTTATCAACGTAAACGTAAAATTATCCACATGGAAAAAGAATAACAATTCGTCAATAGCTTGTAATTTTTGACGAAACCGGAAATTTTGAATGTGATGTGCTTTTGAGTTTTGAATATTTGGCCCATAAAATATGACCCTTGTTTATTTATTAATCTGCTATTGTTCCATATTTTCATTGCTTCAAATTTTTTGAACTTTAATATTACCTGCATATGGTGGTTAAAGTTTGATAAGTCATTATACAAACGAGTTGTAATTAATTGGTTAAGTACATTGCACATGAAGACGTGTTCGAGCTTGGTTAATACTAGTCTGTCTTGTAATGAAAGTCATAATGTGGGCTTTAATTTCAACAATTCAAAGATACACGGAGGGAAGTTGCAGAAAAATAAGGAGAAACTAGGGACAAGTTGATATTTTATTTTATTTTATTTTTTCTTACAAGGAAATGACATAAGTTTCGTTACAACATTATGTGTATTCTCTTTTATTTTTTATTTTTTCACTACTAGTCAATTAAAAAAAATGAATAATTAGTAGATAACTCATTTTGTGTACACACACGCTACCGCCCAGAGAAGAGAGGGAAAGAGGCGAAAACATATTAATTTATCTACCTTCTAGACTGTGGTGTGTGTTCAATCGATAGTACAGTTTAAAAGTTTTATGCAGGCAGTCTTCTTTCATATATACTATATTGATAAATAATCAACGAAAGTTATTTTGACAATGACGAATAATAATGAAAATAACAACATATTTATTACTCTCAACTAGTATGCACATAAATGCGATGTTACATTATTAATTTATTTAGATATCAACATCATATAATCTTTTACAAACAGGAACACTCATTTGATGTAAATTATAAAAGGTTTTACTTGTTGACCAAAACTCTCTCTACATAAGAAGGATCATTTTATATTCATGTAAGTTACTTATTAAATTTTAGTCGTTGATTTATTTATATCTAACGATTCTAATTTATTAAATATGTGAATAATTAGATGTAAATGGATCGACGATTAAAATTGGGGAGGGGGTAAGAGTTTTATTCATTACAAAAGTATAAGTTGATCCTGTCTATATATAGAAGGCCGAAAGTTTTTTGTCACTAGTGTAAGAATAATAAATTTTAAGGCTTTATTAATCTCATGCAATAGGAGAGAAGCTCTCTCATGCTATAGAGACAATCATGTGTGGGACCCACCCACTTATAAAATAAGAAAAAGAAAATAACAAAATAACACAAAAATCGATGTATGTGTAGGAGAGAAAAATACTCTCCTACAACATAAGAGTATATTTTCCCTAAATTTTATTCTCCGTCTCAGTTGTTGTTCTCTATATATTTGATGGATATAGTTTATTAGAGATTTGTAATTAATTAATTTGTATAAATGAATAAATTACAACCATCAAATATAGGAAAATTAATGATTGAGAATAGGAATTATTTTTACATTGAAGTCAAAAATTATTTCATATATACATTTGTGTGTGTGAGATAAAGAATCAAAATTGATAGCCAATAATGGATTTGTGGAAAATAATATACAAGTTGTTAGTTAGATGCCTAATGATGATAATATTCATAAGCTCCAAGATTATCCCCCAATCAAATGTGCTATCTTTTCGTTTTTTTTTTTTTTTTTTAGAGTTACCCTAATTATCTCTTTGAGACGAGTTGGCTCCCTCCGGTATCCCCACGAGCTTCGACTCTTTGAGCCGGCTATGGGACTAATCCGGAGTGCGGGAGAACAGTGATGGCTAAAGGTTCATATCTTTTCGTTTTCTTAATTATCTATATACATTACTTCATGAAGTAAAACTCGTTCGGGAAGAAATCGCTTTGGAATTGTCGTAGCATCGTCCTGTTTTGTTAGGCAAATATTGACAACTTTTACCAATTTGATAGTATTGCAAGATTAGATAAGAACGGGTCACTAGTATTGGCTACGAGTACAAAACATGTTTTGCCACTGGATTTACGTATATGTGTGATGTAATAGTTCAGGACGTGGCATCTATATATTTTCAACTCTCTCTTCTTTTTTGTGTGTGTTTTTTAAACTTTTTATTACAGTTGCTGAAATGATACGCTATTTACTTTCTTTTCGAAGACTTGGGTTTACTAAGATAACGAAATTCATTTATGGAAAGTCAACATCAAAGAAAAGGAACACGAATAAAAACGATAATCGATTAAATTAGCACTTATTTCCCTTACCATGTATATTTGATATATTTTATTTTACTTTACTCTCTTTTTCATGAAGAAGAGAAATTATGATATTAATTAAAATCCAGCCGTACCTATAAATTATATAAACGAAAAAATTAGATATGAAAAATACATGGAATATGTTAGAGGGCTCTATACTTGGCAACACCGTTTGCTACGAGTGAAATTTTTTTTTTATGTAAAAATCATGATTTCCTACAATATGGTAGGGTTTTTTCCCGAAAATATTATCAAAAAATTGTTTGATATGACAAAAAAATTTCGAGAATATTGGGTTATTTTTTTGATGCTATGTTTGGTTGATCATAAAATATTGCTGATAATGTTGAATGAAATTACAAAAATATCCATTTATTTCAATACATCATCTGTTTAATCGTTTTTCAAAGCATGGAATTTCGTCCAACAATTTACTTTATCGATTCCCAAGGGATGAGAAAAAAAATTATATCATAGGTCATATGATATTTTTCTTTGGGAAAATGTAATGCTAAAATAAATTATGGGGGAAAAATAACCGTGAATATTTCCAAAATTTGCATGCTAAATATTGGCAAAAAAAAAAAAAAATTCCCACCCCCAATTCCCGGGAATCGATCCACGCAAAATCTCCATATCAAACGCAAAATCGATCCACCTCAAGTTAGCCGAGCGTTTGGTAAAGAATCCCGGGAAACTGAATTTTTTTAAATTTTAAATTTACGGATATTATCTTAAACTGAATGTAAAAATCATATTTTTAAAAATTGAGATTCCCGGCTAAAAAAAAATTTCTCCTCTACCAGAATAACGTGGGAATTTGGAGTAAAGTATAAAATAAACATACTTGAGACAATCATATATATATCAAACTACTTATAATGATGGATCGAATATATGTTATCTCAATAAAAATCTAACGGTTCAGTTGGTTTGATGTTTTTAAATTTGAGTACCCTTTATATGTAACGTTTATCGCATATATATATATATATATATATATACATATATATATATATATATATATATATAATATATAGGGGTTTGTTTTTCTCATGTTACATGAGAAAACAAACTCTTCCTACACTCACCATAAAAAGGTGTGCCACTCATTTTTTTGCTTTTTGTTTTTTTAAATAGGTGGGTCCCACATTTGATGTATCTATGACATGAGATTAGAATTCTCCTACAACATAAGATTTATTTTTTCCATATATATATATATGTGTGTGTGTGTGTGTGTGTGTGTGGCTTTGTATTTTTGGAACGATAGCAAAATTTCATCTTCTCCCATTGACACAAAAACATGTTGGGAAAACTCGGTTCCCTCAAGCTCGGCTCAGGGGCCTTTGTGCGGAAGTCAATCAACAAGATCCTGATCTCGGATCTTGGCAATACCTCAGCCTGAACTTCACCAGGTCAGGCAGCGCAGCGGAAAAATCAAAACGAAAACAGGAGAGAGAGAAGAAGAACACAACCAGATTTAACGTGGGAAAACCTTCTTGAATTAAGAAGTAAAAACCCACGGGACCTAGTCCTGATCAAAAAACCACTATGAAAATAATGGTTACAGATAATCAAATACACCAATGTGGTGGTTAACTCAACCTCTCCAACAATGGTGATAATCAAACTACCCTAGAGATGTTTCACTCAAACTCTCTCTCTAGAGATATTTCAAATGCAAAGCATAAAGTTTTGCTCAAACAATCAAATAATTCTCTCAAATCTCACCTAGCCTCCACCCTCAACTAATGAGCATATATAGAGGAGGTGGGAATTAGGGTTAGGGTTTTTAGAAAACCCCTCAAATGGGCTTGGGCTTAGCATTGAAGGAGGAAGCCCAACAAATCTCCCCCTTTGACTTCAATGCGTCGGCTTCATCATCAACCCGGCTCCTTCACAACAGTCTTCAATTTTTCTTGTTGGAACCGGCTTCGTCATCATGTCAGACCAATTTTGGTCAGTGTGCACCTTGACTAGTTCGAGCTCTCCACCTTCCACCACATCCCGGATCCAGTGATACCTCACATCAATATGTTTAGTGCATGAGTGATAGGTTGAATTCTTTGCAAGATGGATTGCGCTTTGTATCTCGGCTTTTGCCTGTTCTCTTCATTTTTAATCTTGTAGACCCATTTGTTTTTCAGAGCTCGTCTTCCTTTTGGCAACTCAGTCAGCTCATAAGTCTGATTCTCGTGCAGAGACTTCATCTCGTCTTGCATTGCCTTTTCCCATTCTTCTTTCTCTGAGCTAGTCACAGCCTCATCATAACTCTGAGGCTCACCGTCTTCAGCAACAACGGTGTATTCATCAGATGGGTACCTTGTAGAGGGTCTTCTTTCTCGAGTTGGATATCTCGGCTGTTCTTCAGCTTGAGAACCCGGTTCATCATTTTCATCCTGAATCTCATCATCAACTCGAACCTCAATGTCTTGGTCATCTTCAGCTTGTTGCTGGTCATCAATTTCTTCATTCTCTTGATTTTCTCCCCCTGCTTCAGCTCGGACAGGAGGAACGAGTTCTTCACGTCTGACAGTAACCC